TTTTTTTGGGATGAGTATTGTTTGATTTGCTCATATGATGGAGTAGATACCAGACCTGTTGTCCTCATCCTTTTCTGTCTAGTTCTTTCTAGTGGATAATTTAATTTATGGCCCGTTGTTGAAACATAAGTCATTGTGCAGTATCTTTTATTTTGAATTTTATTTCATGTTTTCTTGTTTTCTTCTGAAAAACCTGGATGTTTGCTCAAGATGTAATCATATTCAATCATATTTTGTTTCCCTGATCAATTTATTGGAAAATTATCTTCGAAATTTAGATGATTGTTTTCAAGAGGATGTTGTCGATACACGAGCATGCAGGTTGAGCTAAAGGTGTGCCTGCAGTTCTTTGTAGACATAGATTTTAAATTTAATTGAATACTATACCAGTAGAAATAATTTTTTCTTATCTGATTTGGGTCTATAATCCAAGGTAACAAGGAGATTGACGGGAATGTCACACACATCGTATTGGAGCGGGGTGGATGAAATGGAGTATCGCATCCGATAATTTGTGTGATAGGAATGTGCCACCAAGTCTTAAAGGCAAGTTCTACATATTGGTGGTTAGACCGACTATGTCTGTATGGGGCTAAAATATTGGTCAGTCAAGAACTCTCATATTCAGAAGATGAAAGTAGCAGGAATGAGGATGCTGAGATGGATGTGTGGGCATACCAGGAGAGATAAGAGTAGGAATGAAGTTATTCGTGAAAAGGTGGGACAAGATGCGGAATTCGAAGCTGAGATGGTTCAGGCACATGAAGAGGAGAAGCACAAATGCCCCTGTTAGGAGGTGTGAGATTGGTCATGGCAGGTCTGAGGAGAGGTAGAGGTAGGCCAAAGAAGTACCGGAGAGAGGTGATTAGGTACGACATGGCGCTGCTTCAGCTTAACGAGGACATGGCCCTTAAAATGAGGGTGTGGAGGTCAAGAATTGGGATAGAAGGTTAGTAGTTAGTTGGGATAGAAAGTTTCTCCTTTCCTTACCAGTATTACTAGTATTATTTTTGTATTTTCTATTCTTAGATCTTTATTACTACTTATTGTTTCGATCACTTCAATTATCTTATTTTCCTGTTGTTGTTACTGTTTGTTGCTATTGCTTCTTTTTTCCTCTTTTTTTCCACATTTTCTTGAGTCGAGGGTTTATCATAAACATCTAGCCTCTCTACCTTTACAAGTTAGGGGTAAGGTCTGTATACACACTACTCTCCCCAGACCCCACTCGTGGGATTATACTGGATTTGTCGTCGTTGTTGTTGATTTGCGTTGCCAGTCACTGTGGACCTGACAATCCCAGAGGAGGAATAAGTTACAGTGAGCAGTAGTTTGGCGGTAAGTTTTGGTATGCTTACAATCACGTGCTTATGGTTATGATTTAGTTTGTGTGCTAACTAAGATATAATTTGCTTCAGTCATCAGGTTTAACGGATCTTGCTCATATTATGCATAATAAGTATTTCGCTTTCTCTGCATTTAGTTCACAAGAATGTTTCCTTTTTCAATTTCAAAAAGTATGTGGTTTCGTTTCGCCCTTTTTTCTTGGGCTTGATTTATTTCAGAGGTGAATATTACCATTACTATTACCTGGTCTTGTTTAGTTCAAGAGTGGCCTTTTCGGATCTGAATTTCAGCTTGCACTTATTTCCTTTCATCTTGCCTGCTATTCTCAAATGCTGTTGGTGGTTTTTCTTCTCATGCCTTTGTTATTGCAACCCTTTGGGAAATAATGCTCCATTTAAAGAATCATGTGAAGAACACCGATGGTTATACGCTTTGAGAGAATTATTTTTCACAAACACAATCATGGTGTACAAGTAGAAGCTGAAGGCTAGATATTGCTCTCCTGCAAGTACTTGTACCAAGTTGATGCCAAGTAGGAGATGGCCTCAGCTAGGGAACCCAAGTAAGAAAATGCTTTTTATGGCCAAGTATACTGCGAACCGTGCATTTTATGATTACTGTAAGCAATTTTCTCTCTCAGGAATTTGGAGCCGGTGGGAATTGTAAATTGTACAGGCAGCTGGCTTGCTTGGTGAAGAGCTGAAATTATGTTAAGCTCAGCTCAACCTCTTATTGTACTTTTTCTGAGAAAATATTTTCAATTGGTACTGATTATATTCCATAATTTATGATTGCCATCATTTGGTGGTTCATAGAACTACTAACAGGGGGGTTTTGTCGCCCTTCTTGACCAAACAATTGCATGGCGCGTTATCTGGGAAATAAACATCTGACACTCAGGGTGGTAGCTTCACATCTTTATAAATGACCAAACAATTGCATGGCACGTTATCTGAGAAATAAACATCTGACATTCAGTGTGGTAGCTTCACATCTTTATAAATTAACTTGTTCATTGGGGGTTAAATCTTTCTGTTGTCGAACAGATGTGTGCATCATCTTAAGGGTTACAAACTGAAAAATGTCGCCTTTAGTTTGATTATGGCATGGCATAACTAGCTTCCAATGCTTGTCTATCCGAATTGGATTTCAAATTAACCAGTTACCAAGAATTTTAACTTTTCTATATCACAAAACTTGCTGGTGATAATGTTGTATTCATGGTGCCATTAATAAAACACGGTTTTTTTTTTAATTTATGAAACGCATAGATGCACTCTCACAACGGTACTTTTGAATTATGAAATCCTAGAAAATTGAAAATCTATACATGAGAACCTAAAGGACCTCCGCTACTGTATACCCTTCTGTTTTAGTTAGGAATAATTTTATGCAGTATTAAATTTTTATGATGCATCACAAGCAACCCCAAAATTTACAAACGACGAGATATGATACTTGGTCAAGTGTCAAACAGACCAAAGACTGCAAAAGCTGAATCAACGAAATTCCATAAAGGAGGGGTTGGCTAATTCATATCTCGACCAGCCAGCTTGGTGGAATATGGAGCAGTAAATTCGTCTACCTAACTCAACACAGAAAAGTCACGAAAGTACAACGAAAGAGCCTGATTTGCGCAGTTCATTTATTGCCTCTGATAACATCTTAAACCTTAGTGTTCGTACACCATATTTTTGGGGAGGAGCTTTTGGATTGATTGTGTCTTTTTCTTAAGTTCTTGGGTGATGGGGACAGTGGGTAGTCACATCCTAATCCTAAGAACCCCTCCAAACTATCTTGCTTTTTCCCCTTTTCTCCAATGGGCATTACATAGAAATTGACTGATCCATAGCTATCTTTATGTGAAGAATCTAAAAGAGTCATTAATGTTATAGGTAGATTTCCTTTCCTACACAAGAATCCATTATTTATCAACAACTCCTAGAAGCTGCCCTCTTTGCTTCAACCCTCATTCGTTTCATGCACTGTCAAAGTTAGTTTTCTTTCTATTCTGTCCAATGGGCTTCTCCTAACTTCTTTTTCTTAGATGAAATAGGAAAGCTCTCTTTCTCTTTGCAACAGGGAATGTTAGATTTCTCCTTCGGGAAACTTCATTTCCCAAAAATTCAATGATTTGATAGTCTATTTTTTTTTTTCCATTCATCTTAAAGTCTTGCATGAGGTAATAAGGTTACGAAATGCAGCCAAGGATGACTTGCCGGCAAGATCGATGTTTGTAGTTCTCAACTGAAGAGTGGAGATTAACGATTTTGACTGGCAAGTCATTTTTGGCTACATCTCTGCCTCATTTTCTCATGCCAGATTTTTGATGATAGATTCGTGAAGGTTTATATTTTGGATCACAGACCAAATGCGGAACGTTTTAATGTGATGGACTATGGGTTAAAGGTTCATCCCAGCGGAAAACATGATGTCGGATAATTTGTCATCACGCAAAATCGTAGAGGACGTGATGACGTGATCAACATCCGACATCACGTTCCCCAGTTGAACGAACCCAATCATGGTAATATATGTAACTAGTGGAAGAAAAGAGAGGAAGTCTTGAACACTATTTGGACAAATTGAAGCATCCGGTAGCGATCTTACTGTCTTTAACCAGTAAAGCATGTGTGGCTGGTATCTGGAAATAGGTAAGTATTAATCCGGAAAAGTATGAAGTATCAACCCAAAAAAAAAAAAAAAGACCACTGGTATATTTATAGAAAAGATGGTTTCCAGAATTAGTCAGCAATGCTCAATTATACTGTTATCTATACAGTTCATTAACCTATTTATGTGCCAAAGCAAGTTATGCTTTCGTTTACTTTGGGAGTGTTCAACAAGTCTCTGGTGACACAGCATTCCATTAAGAAATGTAGTCTCGTTTTGATTCCTTTTTTTAAATTGCGATTCCAAGAATTTTTATAAAATCTTCTGGCCTGCTCCTCAAGCAAGAAAATTTGTGTGTGGATAAGAGAAGAAGAAAGAGAAAGAAAGAAGAAGAAACATAGGGTTTGAAGGTAGTTTTCTCAAGTGTGTCTCACATATCACTTGCTACAAATTCCTCTTTTGGTTTCAATTACTTTCTTCAACTAATATGACCACGCCTTGTGTTGGATTTGGAAAATTGCAATCAGAATACAAAACCATATATATTCCATGGGGCACCACCGTCCTGGCAATAAACCCCATTGGTAAAAAACAACCATGATGCTATTAATTTCTTTTGGCACCACGTGTTTCACAAGTTACAAATTGGGATTGATCAGTTTGGAAAAGTACCAATAGGGTTTTTGAAATGTTGGCCCATTTTTGCAATGTATTATTAGTGGAGTAGCATTTAACTTTCATTTCCAGTGTTGTTTCCCCACAGGCTCGAAACCAGTTTCTCATTTGGAAATAATGAGTAAATGATCTCATATGACTAGCTACAAGTTAAATAGCAGAAAATGGCTCTACAAAGATTTCTTACATGGGAGTATTATATACCGATATCATATGTTATATTTTATTGATCTATTGTAAAACGGGGTCATATCACTAAAATGATATTTGTAGTGGATTATAAATTAAAACCAATCTCCATGAATTTTCCGGTGCATAAATTCAACATACAAGTAACTAGTATCACAATCTTCAAACAACGAAAATAGTAATCAATCAAACATATATAGTGTTGTGTAAAATGATTTTAGCATATTATAAAAAAGGAAATACAAACTCAGAACTGGAAAGAAAGACCTCAGAATAACAGAAGATGGTCATCGATCACCAAATTAAACATGAAAATTTGTAGGTAGAGATATTTGTTAATAACAATAAGGGGAAATAGTGAAATTCTAAAGGGAGATGAAACCTTCGCGGACGAGGAGACCAAACATGAGAGTCAGAAGACCCGTAGTTATGCTTTGCGTTGGAGTCATCCATGGCTGAGAATAAGCGCCCAACGTAAAGGCAGCGCCCACCATTCCGATCAAGAACGCGCTCATATTCTGATTCATTTTTCTTGAGATCTTACTCTCTCTATTTCTTTGCAATTTCTGCTTCTGAAAAACGATCGTTGAATAAAAGGAGACAACTAATTGCATCAATAAGTAAACAACCACACAGTTCTCTCAAAGGCCAAAGTCAACTCTACCTTGGGGAGATGAATCCGTTTTTGTTTATTATTGATGTGACTATCTGTTTTGTCATTCCACTTGTAAGACAAATTTTCTTATTTCCTTTGGTTTTAAATTATATACTTTAATGTAATTTTATTTGTTACTTTATTTTTTGAGTTATTTGATCATGTTTGTTATAATAGCTACCTATTATTGCAAGGAGTTTAACTATATTCAATGAGGATGTAAGAATTTTACACCATCAAATCATCTAATAAATTCTATAAAAGTCCATCAGTAAGTGAAATTAGTAACTTGTAAATAAGGATTATTAATACTTGCTAAAAAGGTTTAAATATGTAAATAGAGTAAAATTCTTCTACAATGTTAGCCTATGACTAATTTACTATATATAAGCTAAAACTCTATTACGAGTAACATAACTTAATGGCATAAAAGTATTAATCCTCTGTTTATTTTTTCTTGTCCAGTATTCTAAAAATAGATTTTCAGTTTTACTTGTCACTTTTAGCATATCAAGAGAAGACAATTTTTTCTCCGGTTATACCCATATTATTAATTACTCATTTCAAATTAGTTTCTCAAATCCATTAAAAATATGCATCAATTAATATGGGTATCATGGTAAATTATGCATTTTATTTATTAATTCCTAAGAGGTGTGTAAAGTCCATAGTGGACAAGTAAAAGTGAACGGAGGGAGTATGTGTATATTACTCTCTCCGTTCACTTTTACTTGTCCACTATTAACCTTGCACACTCCTTAAGAAATAATAAATAAATTACATAATTTACCATGATACCCATATTAATTAGTGTATTGTCATAATAGATTTATTATTGAGGTTATTAGAATGCAATAAACAGCAGCCACAACATTTTTTCTCTGATTAAAGTACGCGATTATGAAATGAAATTTAAGCCCAACAGACTGCCCAACAAACATGTAACAAACATTTAGGCACCGCAAACCAACTACTTTACACCGCTAGCAAAAGCTTAGAGAAAAAGTCATAACAATTGGTGGAGTATTGAATAAATTACCACAAGACTTTTCAAAATTACTTCAAAATTCTAGGATATAAGCATAACGGAAATTAAAAAGTTAACTTAAATAGCTACCCACTTACTGCCAAGGGCGTAGGCACCTTGCTTGAATCGGTGTCACGTGACACCGGTTCGTCAATTATTTTTTCGTAATCAATATGTATAAGTAAGAAATAAAATTAAAATATTGGGTATAAATATAAAAAATGATACCGCTTGTCATTATAGTAATTTATTTATTTGTTCACTTTTTTAAAAATTGACACCGCTTATAGAAATTCCTGCGTACGCCACTGCTTACTGCTTAAACTAAAAACAGAAGGTAGAATATATAAAATATATATAGCTTATGTATAATATTTTTATAGTATAATTTATATATATCAGCTAAGAAAAGTAAATAATCAATTCAGCCGGCTATTTGTGTAAGGTTTCCTTAGGAAATTTCGAGGATATAAGCGTAAGGAACAATGCATGGCATTTACGGGTTTGGCTACGTCACAGCCCATTATTGGTTTTGTGACGGAAGCCCATGAATCTCGTGAAAAGACCCCAAAAGGCTGAAATTAAAAAATAGTTAGATTTATAAATGGTAATTGAAAAATAGTCATAATTTAAAAAGTAATCTTATGTTATTCTTTACTCTATCTTTTTATTTAATAATTCTACCTCGTCTTACTTTTTCTTTATAATATTGTAAGTTTATCCTTTATATGTAAGACATCATGAAATGATGACAAACAATACAATCTATCCAAATATTGTATAAATCAAAACGATAGAGTACACAATACAATACTATATGATACTTTATGAAACGATACTTAACAACCATCCAAACAAGTTGTAAAGGAAACTTTTGCTATCATTTTCAGTAATTTGATATTCAAAAGCATTTTTTTTGAAAAGATTGGTCAAATACAATTTGCTTATCAAATATTACAAAAAGTACCTCTCGAATGAATTAACCAAACACAAACAACTTTTTTCAAAAATACTTTTTCGAAAAGTACTTTTGAACAAAAATACTTTCCAAAATAAGCAATTTTTGACAGCTTGGCCAAACGGGCTCTAAATGACTAGATAGTGCATGTTGATATCCTAAATCACTCTTAGAGATGCGCATACTTTATGATGGCCACTAAATCACTCCTACGACATACGCATACTTTAGCGGCAAAGAGAACAATGTTTGCAACATTAGAGCAACTCCCTCTCACTTCTGGCAAAGCTTTTCCTCTCTTCCTGCAACCAAATTAATTGACTCAGTCTACACTATCTATTCTATTAAGAAGAAACAAATGATCAACAATCTATATATATATATATAATTCAAGGGTATTCTATCGGTTACGTGGCACATCCCATTCGCAAGGACTTCTATTTATCTTTATTTACGTTTTATTTGCCATTTTCCTATAATTTTATACCATCAAACATCGCAATTCTCCGTTTCTAAACGACACCGACTCAAAAAACTCGGTATTCAAAAATACCGCTTCATAAACACAACCACTTCTTAATTCTTTACTCTCTCGAATTTCTTTTTATCCTCAGCTAATTGGTTCTCCAATCTTTCTTCTCTATCTTTTTTTGGCTATTGTTATTTGCTTCATCTCTGTCGATATTTTTTTCATCCTCTGCTAATTGGTTATACAATCTTTCTCTCTATTTCCTTTTTCTATTGTTTATCGTTCATTTGCTACATCTCTGTCGAATTTATCACTATCCTCTGCTAATTTCTAAATTCATTCCTCATTCACAGCGCAGTGAAGGACTACTGGATCAAATGTAGTTACCTACTTAGTTATGGGAAAACAAATGCAATAATGTGCTCGTAAAAATGCCATATGGATTGACCTTGCACCCAGATTCAGGAAATGCTGCTATTTAGGAGAGTTATGGTATATGGTACTTATATTTTTCTCCCTTCTCTTTTTTTGTGCAGGTTGAACAGAGTCTTCTACAGGAAAAACAATGCAGTTATTTGCTTTTGTTCTTATCCAATATCTTTTAATTCAACATACCAATATACTGTTAAACTTATTTTATTGCCTTTTATTGTGATGATACATCTTTACTTGCTCTATCAATTTTGGAAGAAAGTATACACAATTGTGATATGGTAAGTTCAATATTTTTTCTTAATAATAGGTAATTGAAACTCTTTGATGCTTTATGAGATTATTGACTGTGTGCAATCCATTCATCGCCAAGCTAAGGTAAATTTCTTAGGCGGAATTTATTTTACAGTTCAGAAAAGCTGATTTTGCAAGCTTAGAGTTCGAGTTTTCCGAAAAAATGGTTGGTTTACGTTTGCTTTCTATTTCCTAATTTCGGTAACATAATAGGAAGTTCCTAAAACTGATCAGAACAAAAAGAGAAATTCATCAGTTCAAATAAAAGTTATCTTTACCAAAAATATATATATAAAGCAATGATAAAAGGAAGAATGAAGGTGATTTATGTGTTGGGAGATTCATACATCTGTATATATACATAATTCAAGGATAAATATATGTATGTGTGTGTTTGGTTTTGTTCCAATGGATTTCGAAAGTTTGTAAGATTAGGTGCTATCTGTTCTCTCACAAATGTGTTTGATTTTGTTCCAAGGGATTTCGAAAGTTGTAAGATTAGGTGCTATCTGTTCTCTCAAAAATAGGCAAATTTTAGTAGTTACTATGCTTTTCATTAAGAGCTTAGAAGGATCTGGCTGCCTTCTAGAAATTAAAACACTGNATTAAGATGAGAGTCATCTTTGTTTTATTTATATATATTAGGACATTTCTTTGTGCCATTACGTAATCATGGCTTTGCTAATTTATTCTGCAGTTAATTGATCTGATTGTAGCTATATCTACTTTGTGGTGTATTTTAGAGGATAATCAAATAAATAATTTAGCTTTCCTGTTTGATTTATTCTGTGCTGATTGAATTTTTGTTATGTCTGATCTATGGATATAGTGCTTTCTTTTTGTCTAGGGAGAAGAGATTGCGAGCAAGTGTTACGTCCTTGCATGTTTTATTCCTTGCTGAATATAGTACTAGCCGATACTGAATATGATATTTTTTGCAGTATGTTTTTACATTTGGTGAAATATCTTCTAAAAGAGATTAGTTATGGTAATAGTTACTACCTATAGTGATGAAAATATTGACATAGTAACAAGCAAACTTTTTCGCAATCTGAAAAAAATTATTAACAGTTGCAATTTATAAAATGACTGATGCACCGCGTTTCTAAAAATTGACTAATGCATTGCGCGAAGCGCGAGCATATTACTAGTTTAATATATATTAGAAAAGAAAGATTGAGAAAAGAAAAATGGCTTGTCTTACACGTTAATTAAGAAGAAGCAGAAAAAAGCCATCAAAATATTTGACATCCCAGCAGCTATTTATATACTCCTTGTTTTTGTCAATTGTAAACTGACATGTATTCTCCAGCTTTCAGAATCAAGAAGGTGAAAACATAACATATGAGATACTGAAATACTATATTTATAAGCTAGGAATATTAAACAATTTGCTCTAAATATTTCAAATTGTGAAGATTGACGTTTGTTCATCAAATGATTCTGAAATACTATATTTATAAGCTAGGAATATTAAACGTTTTGAAGCGTTTGTTATACTTACAGAAATTTCAAAAGGTTAGTTTTAAAAAGCGTAAAGATTGTAATTAAATGTTTGTACCATGATAAACTCGGTGAAAATTCCTACATACCAGATGCATTGAATATTGTAGTTTAGCGTTTTACATCTTTATATTATTGAAGGGACGATGTACATATTTTTAAAGGGTAAAATGGTCATTTAAATTTTAATAGGCATTTTAGTAATTTAACTTTTAACTTAGGGGCTTCCCATTTTTAGTATAGTATGATATTAACTTAGGGGCTTCCCACTTTTAGTATAGTATGAGGATGATATATGATTATTGATATCTTCTACGAATTTGAGTTTTGTCAATGAATTAAACAACTAAGATGAAAATATACTTTTAGTTAATTTAGGCGGTTATTGGCAAGTTAATGAAGAAAAAAAGAAGTGGAATTTTGTATCTAGTAGCAGTTCATAGACATATCCACCTTTTTGTAGTCAGTGAAGCTTTGACCGAATGACAATAGTTTAAGGTGATACAAACTAAATTTCTTTCAATCCTATAAATAAATGAGTTTTATTAAGTAACATTAATGCTAAGACTGCAATCCGCCGGAAATAGGGCATTACCGCACATAAATAATACTACTACTCCCTTGTATTCCAAAGATGCAGGTACAATCTCACTTACGATTTAATCAACTCCTTCGCATGTTTAGCACGTAACGCATCTTGAGCAAGATAGTCAAAAACCCTACAAACTAACTTTTGTTATTCTTTTAAAATTTAAACTCGATGCTACATTGTCCTCTTGGAAAATGACTATTATCTCAGTGCTTATTTATCAGCTAATGCCCAATGCATCTTCTCCTAATTATTCAAAGTACTCGCACCTACACTTGATATGTTAAGCATTTTCTAAAATAACCTTCTCCTTGCCCCATCTAAAGTACACAACTAAAATAAGAAAAGACAAATGCACAAATAGAAGGAAGAGAGAATTGAGAATCTAAATACCACTTGTTTTTACATAAAGAAATGAGAATCAAAGAATGTGAACAGCTAGCTATTCACCAGATATCCTTACACCAAAAATATCAAAAGGAAAATACAGCTCATTTTTTAAATGAGAATCTAAAAACCAAGGAGTCAATAAGGTGAATAACAACTTTGTAGTAGCACCCGTGACAAAATGTTCCAAAATATACATCTTTTGGGACCAAATTAAGTTGGCAGATTTTCAAGTTCAAATTGGCAATGCATGAGACTACCAAGAAAGTAAGATTGTCAAGACCAACCGTTCCACTTATGACTTTCCTCAATTTGGGTATTTTTTTAAACTTACATAGTGGATTCTTGATTGTACAATTTGAGACTAACAGCATTTTTCCTAGTATAAATAACATGCTACTATTCTTCTTTGTGTACCATGCATAACAAAAGTTGATAAGCAATCGAAATTACTTTGAAACCCTTGAATTAATTGTTTATTACTTCTACTGGATAGTAAATTGAGGAGAAGATGAAGTCAGGTGGTGTTGAAGCTGGAGAGGACTCAAAAGATTCAAAGCCAAAGCCCAAAGGGAACAGAGGAATTTCATTTCTTGATTTTATTATGAGAATATTTGCCATTATAGGTACCTTGGGAAGTGCAATTGCCATGGGAAAAACTAATGAAACCCTTCCCTCCTTCACGGAGTTCATCAGATTTAAGGCTGAGTACAAGGATCTTCCCACTTTCACGTAAGATAAATATACTATTCTATTTTATATATATTGCAATATAAAGAATATTAACACGATCAATATAATTTAACTGTTAACAGTAGGTTGCCTTATAAACATTATTGATGTTCTACACTATAAGTAAAATTTAAGCTATGATAGTAAATTAGTTACCATTTTTATCACGTTATCAATTAATGTTTGTCATGGAAATTTAAGTAATTAACTTATAAGTGACACTATGATGTAATTATGTAAAAAAAATTTTTGTTGCACCCCATTAGTACTTCATAGAACGTAAACTCTTCACCTTTAAATGATTTAGTAGTATAAATTTATTCTACATTGTTAGTGTATAGAAGTTAAGTTTGTTTTTTCCGGTCTAATGGTATAAATTATCCATTTGCTACAATTTTGCACTCGTTGACGTAAAATCTGTGAAAACTCATAGGTTCTTTGTGGTAGCGAATGGCATCGTTAGCGCATACCTGGCTGTATCTCTTGTCCTATCCATCTTACACATTGTCATGGCTGGTGCAAGAATAACCAGGGTGGTTTTGGTCTTCTTTGATACGGTAAATTCTTGAATTAATTAGCTTAATTTGCAACTTCATATTTTAATTATCTTTACGTACAATAATTTCTGAGCTGATAATTAAACTCAGGTGATGATGTCATTTTTGACGTCTGGAGCATCAGCAGCAGCAGCTATAGTATATTTGGCACACAAGGGAAATGAACGTGCAAATTGGATTGCTATATGTCAGCAGTATAACTCATTCTGCGATCGTGCCTCTGGCTCTTTGGTTGGATCGTTTATTGGAGTTCTTGTGTTTGTGCTGCTGATTATATTGTCTGCCCTGGCTCTTTCAAGAAATTGATTTCGTCCTTTAATGATCACTTCCTGCGGGAAGAAAGAACGTTTTCCTATTGCTTTGTTTTTGATATTGTATGTTTGCATTCGAAGAAAATTCGATTTTTTGAGCTATTTTCTCATCTTAATTCTTACAAGCTGTTATTACATCTGTTTGTCTTAGTGATTCTTCCTCTCATTTAATAAAGAAAATTGATATTTATAGTAGCATTCGTTCTGATAAACAGATGACCACGTTGTTTATATATCCCTGCAGCTCTTAACAACTTCATTACCCGGGTTGTCTGGAATCTTTTAACCCTCTAATTGCAAATTCATAATATACGCTAATAATTCTGTCAGCTAAGAATGACAACTGTCTTTGCTGAAAATCCATCAAGTAGATCAATTTTCTGTAAAAAGCTTAGGACCATATCAAGCAATAAAGTTATTTCAAGTCCTAAACTACCTGACACCCCAATCACATCCTTTAAAAAACAAAATAGTAATGGTGTAAGCACCAATAAAAGAACTACAAAAATGTCTAAATGATCAATGCAATAACATCAATGGACAACTGATAAAAACAGCAGAATTGAAACTTCCATGCCTCGTGCGCTACAGTGGTCTATGATGTGAAGAGGAGGAAGAGTTGGATCAAAAGTGTTGTCTTTGTACCCTTCCACAGAGGATGGACCTTCACGCGGGAGTTTAAGAAAGGGGCATTAAGATTGGTCGTGGATCACACATGGAGCTCTCCCAATCTCCGACCAGCCAATTTTAATTCTAAGAGTGCATAAGCTTTTAATCAAACAAAAAATTCTTGAGAGTGTCATCAGCCTCAATAAGAGTACAACCAGGTTCTTTCCAAACCCCATTGTCATCCATCAACTTCCTCACCCTTTCAACACCATCCCATTCATCTCTTGAAGCATAGATATTTGACAGCAAGACATAATCCCCACTGTCTTCCCTTCCCAATTTAAGCAGTTGCTCATTAGCATACCTTCCCAGCTCGACATTGGAATGAACTTTACAAGCTCCTAGCAGAGTTCTCCATATAATGGCATTGGGTTCAATCTCCATCGAGCTTATGAAATAAAACGCTTCATGCAGTAGTCCTGCACGCGCTAGCATATCCACCATACACCCATAGTGCCTTATGTTCGGCTCAATATTGTACTCAGCTCTCATCATGTTGAAATATTCTCTGCCCTCATCAACTTTTCCTGCATGACTACAAGCAACTAATACCCCCACAAAAGTAATTTCATTAGGAATATACTTCACTCTCCTCATATCTTCAAAAAGAGAAATACATTCTTCAGAATGACCATGGAAAGCTAATCCTAAAATAACTATGTTCCAAGACGACACATCCTTTTCTCTCATGCCTTGAAAAAGTTCAAGTGCTTTGCTAATGCTGCCACACCTAGCATACATGTCTACAAGTGCATTACCAAGAAATATACTTAACTCGCCTGCACCCATCTCGATAATAGATTGATGTATCTGCTCACCAACATCCAAGAATGCTGAATCCGTGCAAGCGGATAACAGGTGTAACATGGTAACCTCATCAGGGTGTTCCCCTGCACTTCTCATCTCTGCATACATTTTTAACGCATTCTCGTTTTCGCCACAAAGCAGATATCCAGAAATCATCGCATTCCAAGTCACAACATCCCGCTTTGGCACCATATTAAACAACTCCCTTGCATTTTCCATCTTCCTTTGCTTCAAGTACCCCGTGATCATTACGTTCCAAGAAACCAAGTCTTTAACTGGCATATCATCAAAAAGCCTCCTTGCCACATCCAATTCACCTCTCCTCGCATAACCAGCAGTCAAAGCAGACCAAGCAACGACGTCCCTCTTAGCAGAACCATCAAAAAGTTGGTCTGCAATTCTTATATCTCCAACATTCGCGTGAAAATATATAAGGGTATTCCTCGCAAATTTATTAGATTCAAATCCATGCTTCACAATTTTCCCATGAACGGTAAGGCCAGAAACAAGCCAAGAAAGCTTGGTACATGCCTTCAGTACAAACGGGAAAGTATAACTATCCGGGCGTATGTAACGTTTTTCCATCTGGGTATAAAGGGAAAGGGCAAGATAAGGCCTGAGACTCTGAGCTGAGCCTCTTAGCATGGTGTTCCACATGAAGGGCTCTGGTTGAGTAATTTGTGCAAACACTTTGTGGGCATAGTGAATAGAGGCTGAAAAAATAACGGCAGAGGCGTAAATGAGCTCCCTGAGAGCAAAACGATTGGAGTTGAAACCACTGATGATCATCAAAGCGTGAATTTGCTTTAGGGATTGGAGATCTTTGCATTTGCTCCATAGTGATGATTGCCGGTGAAGATTTGAACTCCTGCTTGTTATTGTCTTTTTGATCATTTACCTCTCATTCTTCTGCTCCGACGGATTTATGAACTAATATTGGGCCTGACCTCCTGGGCTTGATGTTTACTTTAGGATCCGAGTATTTAGAAGTAGGACCGTTTACTTCCATATTTGTTTTAAGAATTAACCCAACCTAACCATTTAAATTAAAAATATTCGGTTGAAGTATAAAATATGCATAATTTATGTATTATATATGTATAATCAATGTATAATTTATATATATGGATAGAAAAAGTAAACAATGAATATCGCCGGCTATTTGTGTAAAGATCCTAAAAAGATAAAATTACAGAATAGCCCTCAGTGAATTTCAAAAGGGGGAAGTGCACAGATAGCCACTGATTAGAGATGTCTTTATTTTTTAGCCATTATTTTAAATGTATTTACTCTTTAACCAGTGCTTAATAAAGTTTTACCCGCCGAACAAAAATACCCATGTGCTAGACATATGTGTTGTGTAAATATTAAGGACATGATGTCCTTAACTTCATGAATGTTGTGTAAATATTAAGGACATGGTGTCCTTAACTTCATGAATGTTGTGCAAATATTTAGGACAAAGTGTCCTGTATTTGCACCTTCTCCTGCTAAACTTTAGGACATCATGTCCTTAACTTCATATGTGCAATGTAAATGTTAAGGACATAATATCATTAACTTGTATTTGCAACTTCTGTTGTTAAACTTTAGGATATCATATCCTTAACTTCATATGTATAGTGTAAATGTTAAGGACATGGTGTCCTTAACTTCATGAATGTTGTGCAAATATTTAGGACAAAGTGTCCTGTATTTGCACCTTCTCCTGCTAAACTTTAGGACATCATGTCCTTAACTTCATATGTGCAATGTAAATGTTAAGGACATAATATCATTAACTTGTATTTGCAACTTCTGTTGTTAAACTTTAGGATATCATATCCTTAACTTCATATGTATAGTGTAAATGTTAAGGACATGGTGTCCTTAACTTCATGTATGCCATGTAAATGTTAAAGACATAATGTCCTTAACTTGTATTTGCACCTCCTGTTGTTAAATTTTAGGACATCATGTCCTTAACTTCATATGTGCAGTGTAAATGTTAAGGACGTGGTGTCCTTAACTTCATGTGTTCATCGTAAATGTTAAGGACATAGTGTCTGTAACTTCATGAGTGATGTATAAATATTAAGGACAAAGTGTCCTATATTTGCACCTTCTGCTGATAAACTTTAGGACATCATGCCCTTAACTTCATATGTGCAGTGTAAATGCTAAGAACATGGTATCCTTTACTTCATATATGTAATGTAAATATTAAAGACATAACATCATTAACTTATATTTGCAACTTCTGTTGTTAAACTTTAAGACATCATGTCCTTAACTTCATATGTATAGTGTAAATGTTAAGGACATGGTGTCCTTAACTTCATATGTATAGTGTAAATGTTAAGGACATGGTGTCCTTAACTTCATGAGTCATATATAAATATTAAGGACATGGTATCCTTAACTTCATATATGCAGTGTAAATATTAAGAACATGGTGTCCTTAATTTCATGTGTGCAATGTAAATATTAAGGACATAGTGTACTTAATTCGTGAGTGATGTGTAAATATTAAGGACATGATGTCCTTAACATCATATGTGTTGTGTAAATATTAAGGACATGGTGTCCTTAACTTCATGTGTACAATGTAAATGTTAAGGATATAATATCATTAACTTGTATTTGCAACTTGTGTTGTTAAACTTTAGGACATCATGTCCTTAACTTCATATGTGCAATGTAAATATTAAGGACATGTTGTCCTTAACTTCATATGTGCAGTGTAAATGTTAAGGCCATGGTATCCTTAACTTCATGTGTGCAATATAAATGTTAAGGACATATTATCATTAACTTGTATTTGCAACTTCTGTTTTTAAATTCTAGGACATCATGTCCTTAATTTCATATGTGCATTGTAAATGTTAAGGACATGGTGTCTTTAACTTCATATGTGCAATGTAAATATTAAGGACATAGTGTTCTTAATATTTTACACATCACTCATGAATTTAAGGACACCATGTCCTTAATATTTATACATCACTCATCAAGAAAGGGTAAAAAAGACTTTTCGTATCAATTTTAATAGATTAGTGGCTATTTTTGCTCAACATTAAAAACACTGGCTAAAAAATAAATACCACTTAAAATAAGTAGCTATACCACGCCATTTCTACATTTCACAAGGCCTCTCCATTTTGGCACCTGGGCCCCCAATAGCATCACATGTTGATTAAGCCGTTCGGTTTAGGTGAAGTACACAAATAGCCCTCAAAGTGGATAGCTTAAGTTTTTGTCCCTACTTGCCCCAGGGACAAAACTTCAAGGTTAAGAAATATTTATCCTCACTCGCCCATAGACAATACTTTTAACTTTTAACTCTGAAATTCTGCTCACAGGATAATCGGGAGTCAAAAATTAAAAATCACCCCATAAAGTATCATATTTAGGTAATTTTTTATTCAGTTTAAATAAGTAATGTCCGCGACATTCTAAATACACTTGTTATTAGTCGGCTGAATATATTGTTTACTTTTGTCGGACGATATATATAAATTATATATGGTTATACATATATTTTATATAAATTATACATCTACTGTTATATTTAGTTTAAGAGATTGGATAATCGAATATTTAGGTTTGTTCTTCTTCTTTGTTTTTTGTTATGAAATCCGCTAGTACAGAATTTTACTCACCTACCAATATTTTTGGCAAAACTAAGAATTCACAAATAATTATTTACAAATTATGTATAGCATGGAAGTCCTATAAAAATAAAAAATGATTTATTATTTTCCTCGAAAAATAGCTTACAAATGTTTCAACTTTTTAGACTTTATGCATCGGGAGATTTGCACAAATAGGATTATTTAGTGCCACCATTTTTCATTTTAATCCCGTTAATGAAATTGTTGAAAAAATAGCCCAACTGTCAGAATTTTTGCTAGAATTTTAATGTATGCTACCAGAATTTTAAAGCATACTGCTTGAACTTTGAAGAACACAACCAGAATTTGAACTATGCTACTAGATTTTTGAAGCATGCTGTCAGAATTTTAAAGTACGCTACCAGAACTAACGATATCAGTGTGCTTTAAAATTCTGGCGTGGAGCTATTTTATCAAAAAATATTTAACAGGGTCAAAATCTAAACGGTGATTCTAAAAAGGTCTATGAGGCGTAATTTCTTGTTATACATTTGGGAATAAAAGACCTTTTGCTGAATTAGTGCATAATAAAACGAAAAAAATATCCATTTAAATTCTAGCATTTATCAGTATCACTGCAAGAATTTTCTAAAGTGAGACGTTTTTTTTTAGGTGTTCCTCAAACTGAAGTAGGAAAATAAAGGCCATAAACACTAATGTTAGATAACAGATGAAGGATCATGAAAATTCACATTAATCACCTTGGTTGATAATTTAATATGATCGGCAGGAGTCTTTTATGCAGTAGGTGTTTTGAGAAAATTACAGGAAAGACATAAATAGACACTACTTACCCCTCCCAATAGGTGTGTTGATTTTCATTGTTCTCCTTCCCTTTTTCTCTTCCCTCTTCTCCATGTAATTAAAACATATTTTAAGACAAAATAAAAATAAAAATTTTCGTTTCAATTTTTATGACACATTTCACTTATCGAGAGTTAAACAATGTGAAATTTGACCAACATTTGAAAATATTTTTTATTTATCATATTTGATATGAGAAAATTATAATTTATACTCGTACTTTTCGTATAATTTTGTATATTTAAATTTAAATTTTAAAATACTGAGTTGAACTGAGTTGACAAGAGTGAGTTGCTCTAGTGGTAAGCACCTTCCACTTCCAACCAAGAGGTTGTGAGTTCGAGTCACCCCAAGAGCAAGGTAGGGAGTTCTTGGAGGAAGGGAGCCGATGGTCTATCGGAAACAGCTTCTCTACCCCAGGGTAGGGGTAAGGTCTGCGTACACACTACCCTCTCCAGACCCCACTAGTGGGATTATACTGGGTTGTTGTTGCTGTTGTTGAGTTGAACTGATCAATTTAGCTTCAAAATTTAGTCAAATTGATCATCGATAAGCGAAATGTATTATCTAAATTAAAACTAAAGGAGTATCTAAGCTAACGTTTGGCCATAGATTCCCAAAATTATTTTGAAAAATCTGATTTGGGTGAAGTTTGGTTTGAAGATGAAAATGTATTTGGACATCAGTTTTCAAAACATATTTCCCAAATTTATTTTGAAAAAACATGAAACATGACTTATACCCACAAGTTTTAAAAACTATCACAAATATCCAACAGTACTATTATCAATAACATTCATTATTTTATCTCAAACCATAGTCCTGAACATAAATAAATTTGGCACAAAATTATCATTTTTATAATAAATTACATGATACTCTATCAGATGACCGAGAAGACGAAGCAATATTGTTACAAAATAATAAATGGTGGGCTCTTTTATAAAATACAAAAGTTTGTGGCAATTTTTAAAAAATATAATAGTGATATTTTGGCCCAAAACTAGCTATTGAGCTGGTTTTGGGATTTTGCCAAAATGTAGGTAAAATTTATGGCCTAACATGTGTTTGCCAAATAAAACTAAATTTATTTTAACAAAATTTATGGTCGGCCTAACAAAATTTATTTTAACAAAATTTATTTTGTCAAACGGGTCCTTTAACTCCGATGGAGTATATGGGGCCGGAGGATCAGAAATAGAACTCTTTAATTAACCATCTCAACAACATTGTACTACAACTCAAGCTGATCTTTTCGCTACTAAGTAATATTTTCATGGATTTTCACAAAAAAAAATTAATTCGGTAAAGTAAAAACTCTATAATTCAGGGAACTTTACAAAATTGAGTTTCTTTGTGGAAAATGTTTGGAACACATAACAAGCTGTTTGATTCAACCCAAGCTTCAACATTTTCAATGTGAATGCAAGATAAACACTGA